TAGCTTTGGTGATGAAATCAGCAAGTTTTTTAATGAGTTAATTTAATCAATGGTCACTGAACTTTGTTATGGTTACTACTTGCTCATTGATCTTTAAAAAGCTACCCGTTGCTCACTGGACTTTACTATCTGTTACTGCTTGCTCACTGAAATTTAAAAATTTACTTGTTGCTCACCTAAATTTGAACAAAGCTACTCATTGCTCATTAAACTTTGCTATAGGTAGCAATTATGAAAATGATACGGGTGATTAATAAGTAACTTTATTCAAATTTAAGTGAGTAACAATTAACTTTTTAAATTTCGATGAGCAAGTAGGTAACATATAGTAAAATTTAGTGAGCAAAGAGTATCCTTTTGAATTTCGATGAGCATGTAGTAACCCATAACAAAGTTTAGTGACCAGTGATTGAATTAACTCGTTTTTTAATATTTAAGTCTTTTAAGTATCTTTGTGATGAAAAATGATAATTGGAACATTCAGGATTTACTATGGCCTATTTGGTACACATTAAAATTTTCATTTACACTCTTCTACTCATTTTCAACTACACATTTTTCAATAAAATAATATTTTTCATCACATCAATATGGGTGTGTTTGATGGATATTATTTTGGAAGAATGTATTTTGGAATAGTAGATTGATGGAGAATGTGTGGTTGAAAAAGAAGGAAAAGTTATTGATGTGATGAAAAATATTATTTTATTGAAGAATGTGTGGTTGAAAATGAGTAGAAGAATGAGAATGAAAATTTTAATGAGTACCAAACACACCCTATATATATATATGTATGTATGTATGTATGTATGTATAAACCTTGGCCTCCATTTGAAAAAATTATAGATCATTTATAAATGGCCAAACTTTTGACAAGTAATATCCACTTATCCACCACTCATTTCTATCTATTTATAAATTAAATTGTTTATAACTTCTTCCCAAATGGAGGCATAATCGAGCCAGGTTACGGAAGTGTAGAAGTTTTTCTTTTTGCCTGCCATCTGTATATTGATATATCTTTATAGCATGTTTCGAAATTAATACGAGTATTATAATAATAATAAACAATTGTAATTGGCAGGACTCCACAGTCTCTGCTCACTGGTTTGATGTGGCTTGGTGTAAAGGATGGAAGATATTCCATGCGGCATGTCTGCCAAAATTCGGATGAGCTTAAGACATATGGCTGGACACATCATAATGGACGGGATTATGGTCATCAAGTATTGGTTGACCAAGAATTCACACTTATGACTAGCTTTTTAAAATACAAGGAGAAGGAGAGTGGATATGGAGGAAACTGGGCAGTTCGAATTGAAGCACAGAGCGACAAGTCAGTCTCCTTACCATGTGTCATACTTGCATTCTGAAACACTGTATACTTGTATTCTGGTCACGAAGTTATAGCTCCAGATAAAGAGTTTTCCAAAATGATGCTCATTGATTTCTTAATATGTTGTTGAGTCCATGGTAGACTAA